AGAGTAAGCTGTTTCCAAAGTGGCTATACCATTTTACAGCCTGATGAGCAATGTATGAGTTCCAGTTGCTCCATATCCTTGCCAACATGTAACAGTATTGTCAGTCTCTTTAATTTTAGCTATTGTACTAGGTTTGAAGTAGTATCTCATTATGTTTATACTTGCATTTTCCAATGACATTATATGCCTTTCATTTAATGGCCATTATGTATCTTCTTTTCTGAAATGATTGTGTGTGTGTGTGTGTGTGTGTGTGTGTGTGTGTGTGTGTGTATTGCTGGCCTGCATCCTCTGAATCCGGTGTGTGTGTGTGTGTGTGTGTGTGTGTGTGTGTGTGTGTGTGTATATATATATATATATATGTATTATACTGGCCTGCACCCTCTCTAATCCGGGACCCCTCGAGGGATATCCGACTGCACCTCTCACAATCCAGGACTGCTGTCTCCAAACCACTCACCTGCATGCTTGCTAGCCTTACTGCTCCTAACCCCTCTGCCTGCCTGCCTGCCTGATTTCCCCTAACCACCTCTGCCTGCCTGCCTGATTGCCTCTAACTGCTTCCCTGCTGGCCTGATTGCCTCTAACTGCTCCTTACTGGACTGATCGACCCTAACTGCCTCTGCCTTGGCCACACATCCAGAATCCAGGATTCCCTCCTCCGGCAGGCCACAGGCACATAGGACCCAGGCCAGCTTTACCACAGGGGACATGGGTGGCCAACTTCACCCGGGCCACAGGTGCGGGTGCCCGGGACTACAGGGAGGGCGGCTTTTCTCCCTTTCCTGTGCCACCGGGCCCTCGGCCCTCACAGCCACTGTGGCTTTGTCTGGATGGACTTCTGGAAGGCATATGGTCTAATTAGCATATTACTCTTTTTTTTTTTTAACTTTATTTTTTTTTTAAATCGTTATTGTTCAGATTATTATAGGAGATTATTATAGGTGTCCCTCTCCCCCCTCCCCTTTAGCTCCCCTCCACCTGATTCCCAACCCCACCCCACACCCTTACCCCCGCCATTGTCTTCATCCATAGGTGTAAGATTTATGTTCAATCTCTTCCCGCACCCCTCAGACGCCTTTCGCCCTGTGAATTGTTAGTCCAATCCCTTTCTATGTCCCTGATTCTATTATATTCTCTTTTATTAGTATAGGTACTTATTCTAGTATATCTGGTGAAAAGACTTCCTTTCCCCATGGGAATGTCTTGGTGTCTTGGTCAAAAGTCAACTATGCTTGTATGGGTCTATTTTACTATTTTCTATTCTGTTTCATGGATCTATTTGTTTATCTTTAAGCTAATACCATACTAAAAATTATCCCATTAGCTTTAAAGTCTTGAAGTCAATTAATGTATGATAACTTTTCTATTCTATAAGATTGTTTTAGATATATAAATTCCTTAACCTTTTCTAACCAGATTTTACAACCACCTTGAATTTCTATAAAAAAATCTTGTTGAGGTTTTAATTGAGACTGTACTGAATTTATGGATCAATTTGAGAGAAATTATATTCTTGAAAGTCTTGATGTTCTTAACAATATCAAGACTTCCGCCAAAACCGGTTTGGCTCAGTGGATAGAGCGTCGGTCTGCGGACTGAAGGGTCCCAGGTTCGATTCCGGTCAAAGGCATGTACCTTGGTTGCGGGCACATCCCCAGTAGGAGGTGTGCAAGAGGCAGCTGATCGATGATTCTTTCTCATCGATGTTTCTAACTCTCTATCCCTCTCTTCCTCTCTGTAAAAAGTCAATAAAATATATTAAAAACAAAACAAAACACAATATCAAGACTTCCAATAGAAAACCATGGCATATTCCCATTTATTTTGGGTTTTAATTTCATTCAGCAGTAATTTCCAGTGAAGAAATCTTAAATGTCTCTTTATTACTAATTGTGTATGTTTTAATGCAAATGGGATTTTTATGAGCTTATTTTCCAATTTTTGCTGTTGTATTATAAATACAATTGGTTTTTATATATTGATTCTGAGAGTAGTTTGATAGATTGTTTAGGATTGTCTATATAAATAATGTTTTGGAGTGAAAACACTTTTGTTGTATTATTTTATCATAAATGAATGTTGAATTTTGTTAAGTGATGTTTCTGAACCTATTGATTTTCAAATGTTTCACTAACTGTGCATGCCTGAGATAAACCCTACTTGGTCATAATGTATTAGTATTCCATATTATAGATAATATTGCTTTATTTGATTCACTAAGCTGTAATTTTCTCTCCTTGTAATGCCCTTATCAGATTTTTGGTTTGAGGCTATGAAGGCTTTATAAAATGAGACTGAATGTGTCTTTTTCTCCTATATTTTCTGATGGTTTGTGTAAAATTGATATTTCTTCCTTAAATGCTTCATAAAATTTATGAGTAAAACTCTCTGAACGTGGAGTGTCCTAAAAAAAAAAAAAAAAAAAGGTTTTCTGATAAAGTTTGTGTAAAACTGGTATTAATTTTCCTTAAATATTTCATGGAATTCACTAATAAAACTATCTGGACTTGGAGTTCTCTACAAAGAAAGGTTTTTCGTGTGAATTTAATTTAGCAAATTTTAGGGATTTTTCTCATATCAAACAAATGATTCTTTAAAAGAAACTAGAAATCAAAAATAATGAAGTTTACCTTTTATATTTACCCACATATTCACAATTTCCGGTGATTTCATTTCATCCTTTAGATGTAAGTTCCCCTACTGTTACCTTCTTCAGCCAGCATTCCTTATAGCATAAGTCTGACTTTCTGCTGGAATAGTAATCACCAAGTCCTGCAGACTAGAGAGAGCCCTAAGGTGACAGCTATATAAAGACAGATCTGGCCAGGTTCACCTACTTCAAAGGTTGAAACATTCCTTCCAGTTTCTGTTTACTTTCTTGGACTCTCCAGTGCTTAAAAATTTTAATTATTGGAAGGGTTAGCCTGCCTGATACAGGTTCTTCCACCCTTTCTAGAAACCAGAATTCCTCGCAGATTCTATTTTTGATTCGATGGTAGTACTAATTAATAAAGAGTGCTAAATTTTATCACTAATTTTAGAATATTCAATCACAGGCTTACACAAAAGCATCATAGAAACTCTGTAAATATAATGTAAGTGTAAAATGGGGCTATATAAGCTAACCTTACTAGATTTATCTTCATAAATTTGGCTACAGCTTTTACTCTTCAATTTTCAAGTGGCTACTACTGTTAAAAAAAAAAATCTTTCAATGACTTGAGCCTTCCCTATGGACTAACATTAAGATACTTTGGCTGTAATTATTCTAACAAGACTAATTCCAAAAGCATATCTGGAAAAATAGACAAATGACTTGCTGAAATCTAGATAATCTGGTGTCATTTTTGAACTGTCAAATCAAGTGTGTGTCTATGAAGAAAATAAGTTAGTGTGAAATGCGATGACTCTATAAAATTGTATACATTATAAGTTATATATTTTTTTAAAATGAGAGGATAATAAATGCATTTGTCTACCAAATATATAAATAATACGTGTGTTTGTGTGTGTGTGTGTGTGTGTGTGTGTGTGTGTGTGAATCTCATGAATTATTAACTAATGAGCATTTATTTAGGTAGTATTTTAGATTTTGTTTACATAAAACAATGCTTTAATAAACATAACTGCACATATTTCTTTGCTTACTTGTCTGATCTTTTTCTTAAGATAAATTCTTAGAATTTTAAAATAAATTATGTAAGCATATATATGCACGCGCATAAACCTACACATCTATGTGTATTATTTGTGTACAGCTATGCCCATTTACACTCCTAGAAAGATGATGAGATAGTTTATTTCTTGGTGCTTTGGCCAGAAAACAGCTATTATCAAGATTTTTAACATTTGCCTACTGGAAAGTTTTTTAAAATGACAATGCAATGCAATTTTAATTTGCGTTCTTTGAATAGTGTGTTGGCCATTTTAGTTCTTTTGTGAATTTCATGATTTGTAGTTTTTCTTCTACCACGTTATCTTTTTCTTAGTAGGTTTTTAATGGAGGTTAATGTACTCTTGTCTACTCTGACAACAGAGTGCTTTTAGGTCGGGCCTGCTAGATTTGAACTCTGAACCCCAGCTCCACCACACCCTAGTTAGAGAAAGAGAGAGAGGGAGTGAGAGAAACATAGATGGGTTGCCTCCCATATGTACCCAATCCGGCACTGAACCCACCACCTTATGGAGCTCAGGACAATGCTCCAACTAACTGAGCCACACTGGCAAGGAAAATAATAGTTATTTTTAAAGTATATATGGTAAAGAGATGTGACTTTCATTTGAAATAGCAAAAACAATATTAAAACTGTGACAGTCATTCTCTTGCAGTTCAATTTTCTTTGATAATCTCTCTCCTACACATGTTCCTTCTATCCTTCATCTTTTAATACTAATAATTAGGTCTTATGTAGAAGTGCCCAGATTTCTTTTTTTTCTTTCTTTTTTTTTTTTTTTTTCGTCTGCTGCAAACTTTATTTTATTTTATTTCATTTTTTGAGTTTTTATTTTTATTTTTTATTTTGACCTCTTTTCCACTATTTCAAATACTTAATAGCTAATTTCATAACATCACATGTACCATTTTAAGAAGTGCCCAGATTTCTTAACTAAATTTTTTTATGGTCACAAAGTCATTGCATAAATATTGAAGTTTATTATATCTATGTATTAAAGCAGTATCTTAAGAAGCAAGTATGCATTACTAAAAATGATCAAATAATATAAGGTTTAATTAATTATTCTCTGGAATTTAAAAATAACTAAATCATTAAATATTATTATCTAAAAATTATAATAAATTCCAAACTATCAAGAAATAGGTTTAAGCTAATAAAAATTTACAATCATATCGATACTATAATCCTTTAGTAAATATTAAGCAATGTGAATTTTAAAAAAAGTATTTTAAACATATTTTAATTGATAAAAAGCATATCCATATTTATTACTCTAGATAGATTAGACTATTTTTAGAAAACTAGGACGAAATCATTTACCTGTTGGAGGCAGGCAGTCTTTCCAATCAAAATAGCCTGCATAAATTCCAGGTTCTAAGGAGCCAACAATGGGATCTGCTTTCAACTCAATGTAATTTTCAAACAATCTTTGGTCTAATTCTTTCAATGAGGCCATGCTAACCTAAAAACATATAATAAAGAGTAATTATAAGCTGTCCATTTGAGGGTGAAAGAAAAAAAGGAAATAATGTAAATTTTAAAACACTTCAGTATATTTTAAAAATATTTATCACATTTACTACAAAAACCACATCTTTATTTTATGTTCAGTAATAAAGACTACACTTAGCATGACTATTCAACAAAATAAGAATGAATCCCCATGTATGGTCTATAGGTCTTTTACAGAATGTCCAGCCCACGTGTACTGATGGTGGTGGAAGTGGAGCAGGGCGAGGAGGTTAGTGAACATCTGTCTGACCAGTCGGTGCCAGGTCTCACTGGCATCCAAGAGGCCAAGCAGTTACAGTGGGTTCATGGAGCATTAAGGGTGGGAAGGGAAGAGTTTGGGCCTACGTTCCTCTTCAGTAGACTGGCAAGCTAGTTGCTTCCACACCACTGAGCCATGGAACACAAGCTTCTCTACAACACTCCTGAACTTCAAGAACTTCAAGTTTGTTGAAAAACAAGCACACAGCTAGTGAATCTAGCAGCTATCAATGAGAATATTTGCCAAGCAGGAAATTCAGCAGTAGGAGAGAAAAGCAACCAGTTGAACTTAGAAAAATACTGAAAACCCTACGGAGGTTAAAGTATGATATAAAACAAGACTTCATAAAGACAAAACACATGATTTCATCAGCTAACAACTGACTATATGAATTAATGAAATTGCTGGTCACTACTAAGATTGAAATTAAGTGTAATTAAGTACTTCAAAGCACAAAGTAAAAATGTAAAGAGGTGGATATAATGAAGGAAGAGACTTAGAAGATAGTTCCAAAGAGCTCAAATATGAAAAAAAACAACCACACACAAACAAACACACACACGAAAACAATTAAGTAGAGAACTATGAGCAGTTAGAGAAAAGGTAATAATTAAACAACCAAGAGAAGACAATTTAATTCGATCTAAAGACTTGAGTTTATAATCTGAATAGGCTTAGTGAGTTCCAGACTAGACTGTTAAGACACATCTAGACAAATACTATTAAAAGTACCGATTTTCTAAAATAATAAAAAGAGAAAGAAGCTCTTTTAGGCTAACACAGTGATAGGCAAACTCATTAGTCAACAGAGCCAAATATCAACAGTACAACTATTGAAATTTCTTTTGAGAGCCGAAAACTGACTTCTGTGCATGGGCCACAAAGTTTCAAGTGTAGTGTATGTGTGCGCCCGCACGTGGTATTTTATGGAAGAGCTGCAGTCAAGGGGCCAAAGAGCCGCATGTGGCTTGTGAGCCGCAGTTTGCCAACCACTGGGCTAACATATTAAAACAAAACAATTTACCTATAAGGGAAAAAAAAAAAAGTCTATAATCAGCTTTTCTCTGATGCAACATTGGAATCTGAAATCACTGGAATAATATCTACAAGAATAAAAGAAATGCAACCCAAGAGTCCTATATTTAGCAAAGAGAGTCCATTCAACTAACAGAGTCCAACAAACATATTTTTGAACATGTGAAGATTCAAAGAATATATCACCCATGTAACCTAAGAAAGTGCTCTCACCCAAAAGCAAATAAATATATCAGACTGAGGAGGATGAACAATTGAGGAAAACATAGTATGGAATGAACTTTAAGCTCCCTTCCAGCATCCTTCATCCCTCTTTTTCTCTAATATTTAGAAACATAAACTTAAGTAATAATTAGAGATATTCTGGGAATGATACAAGACTAATTCTTAAAAGAGGAGAGGCATCCCAAAATACAATATATCAAAATCTGTGTGACAAAGGTAAAGCAATGGGTTTTATCGCCAAAAATGTATCCCTCAGAAAGAAAGATTTAAAAGAAGAAAACTCAAAATTACTATTTTTATCTTTTACCTTCAATAGCTAGAAAGAGAAAATTGAACTCAAAGAAAGTAGAAGTAATAATTAAAGATAAGACCAGAAATCAATTAAATTTTAAAAAGTATTAATATGAGAAAACCAATAATGCCAAAAGTAGGCTTTTGAAAGGGACATTATAGTTTTATGTAATCTGTCAACACAGAGGAAATTGAAAAACTCCTAAAAAACAGTTTTTTAAAAATGGCACAAGTGGTCCTATATGCCCTAATAGAGAAATTAGAATTTTCGTGCACCCTGAAAAATGGGGCCTACGCTGGCAGTCAGACATTCCTCTGGCAGCCCAGGAGCCCTCAGGGATGTCTGACCAGTGGCTTAGGTCCACTCCCCATGGGGAGCAGGCCTCAGTTGTAGTTGGACATCCTTAGAGCTGCTGAGGAGGTGGGAGAGTCTCCTGCTACTGCTGTTGTGCTCGCAGCTGTCAGCCTGGCTTGTAGCTGAACAGAGCTCCCCCGATGGGAGTGCACTGACCATCAGGGGGCAGTTCCTACGTTGAGTGACTGCCCTTTGGTGGTCAGTGCAACTGGTCACACCTGTTCCTTCCGCCCTTTAGGGTCAATTTGCATATTATCCTTTTATTATATAGGATACTTTTATATGAGGAGAACTTTAGGACCAGATGTTTCCTACCAAGCATTTAAAGAAGAAATTATCACACACAAACTTTACAATAGACCAGAGCCTGAGAATGTTTCCTATTTTGTTTTATGAGGCCAGCAAAACCCTGATGTAAAAAACTGTCAAGAATATTGCGAGCAAAGAAAATTACAGACCAATAAGCCTCATGAACAAAGATATAAACATCCTAAAAATCACTGGAAAATTGAATCTATAAATAAATAAAAAAGAATACATTATAGAGAAGTGGAATTATTTCAACTGGTGAAAAAAAAGAAATTGATAAATGTCTCTTCTCCCATTTATATTCAAGATTATAATGACGGTACTAGTCCATGCAATGCAGTAGAAAAAATGTCAGAAAAGAAGTTGAACTGTCTTTTCAAGACATATTATAACCCTATAGTAATACATGCATAATTAACACAATGATAATGAACAAAATGCAATACTTAGTAAAAGATAAATTATAGACCAGAATATAACAACTAAAACCAGAAAGCCTCTGGGAAAAAAATATTCAAGACATTGAAGCTGACAAGGATTTTGACAGGATATGAAAGGCATTAAACATTTAAAAAAAAAAAAACCTCACAAACTGAACCTCATCAAAATTAAAAATTTCTACTCAAAAGATACCATTAAAAGAACAGAACAGCGAGCTACAGGCTTGGAGAAAAAATAGATACTGACAAAGAACTTATTTATAGATTTCTAAAAATCACTCATAAAAAGGTGAAAAACCCACTTAAAAAAATGAGTAAGCAAAATAATATATCTAAAAATGGACATCTGAATATATAAGACTAGAGGTCCAGTGCACAAAATTTGTGCATGGGGAGGAGGAGGTGTCCCTTAGCCCAGCCTGCACCCTCTCCAATCTGGGATCCCTCTCACAATCCAGGACTGCTGGTTCCTAACCACTAGCCTGCTGCCTGCCTGACTGTCCCTAACTGCTTCTGCCTGCCAGCCTGATAGCTCCCTGCCAGACTGATGGATGCCTAACTGCTCCCCTGCCAGCTGGATTGCCCCCAACTGCTCTCTCCTACTAGCCCGATTTTCCCCAATTGCCCTCCCTTCCTGGCCTGATCACCCTCAACTGCCTTCCCCTGCAGGTCCAGTCACCACCAACTGCCCTCTCCTGCCGACCCGATTGCCCCCAACTGCCCTCCCCTACTGGCTTGATTGCCCACAACTGCCCTGCCCTGCCAGCCATCTTGTAAAGTTGTGTGAATGGCCATCTTGTGGCGGCCATCTGGTGATGACGTGAGGGTGTAGAGCAAGGGCCACCTAGGCTTTTATTAGTATAGATGCTTAAAAGAATCATCTTTATCAGGGACAGTTAGAGAGATAAATGGTAATTCATAGTCTTAAATGTTACTATTAAAAAGTCAGAAAGGTATGGAATCAATGAGTTATTAAAAAACACAAGCTAAGCACCAAAATTACTGCAACAACAAAAACATCCTATCTAATAAAAGAGTAATATGCAAATTAACTGTCACTCCAACACACACCATGGTCACTCACATGTGGTAAAAGATGGCTGCCCCCATGTGGACACAAGATGGCCACCACAAAATGGCTAACAGGGAGGGTAGTTGAGAGGGACCAGGCCTACAAGGGAAGGCAGTTGGGGGTGATCAAGCCTGCAGGGGAGGACAGTTAGGAGTGACCGGGCCAGCAGAGGAGGGCAGTTGGAGGGAACCAGGCCTACAAGAGAGGGCAGTTGGGGGCAACCAGGCTGGAAGGGGAAGGCAGTTAGGCATCAACCAGGCTGGCAGGGGAGTGGTTAGGGGCGATCAGGCTGGCAGGCAGAAGCAGTTAAGGACAATCAGGCAGGCAAGCAGTTGGGAGCCAGCAGTCCCATATTGGAGAGGGTGCAGGCTGGGCTGAGGAACACATACACCCCGTGCACAAATTTTGTGCACCGGCCTCTAGTGTGTGTGTGTGTATATATATATATATATATATATATATATATATATATATATATATATATATATAGAGAGAGAGAGAGAGAGAGAGAGAGAGAGAGAGAATAGTAAAGCTAAGAGTTGGTTCTTGAAAAGATTCTGTCAAGACTGATCAAGAAAAGAAGACTGAAAATATTAAGCAAACAAGCAAGTATAAATGGGGGTCAGAACTTCAAATGCAGTTGAGATCGAAATAATATGAAACTACTATAAAAAATACTAGTATTAGTATTTATTGAAATACTAGTATTTCAATAAATTGAAAATGTAGGCAAAATGGATGAAGTCCAAGAAACATATAATTGATTATAAGGAAGAAAGAAGAAAACACACTTTATAAATTAGTATAACCTACATACAGCAACATGAATAGCAAAAACAATATTTACTAGAAAAAAAAGTATAGAAAAATACATACCAGATAATCCCTTTTATGCCTTTAAAAAGTAAAAAAAAACAAACAAAAAAAACCCACCAAAAAACAGGTAATATGGAACAAAGTACAG